TTCAAGTATGTATTCATAGCATTTCATGCATGTATTTCTGGATTTCAAGCATTGAGGCATGTCATTGCCGTTGACGGAACATTTCTTAAGACATCCTATAAGGGTGTTTTACTCATTGCAACGGCTCAAGATGGTGACTTTCACCAATATCCCCTTGCCTGGGCTATTGTGGACTCTGAAAACAACGACTCATACTCTTGGTTTTTTGGCCATTTAAGGAAGTTAATTCCTGATTCTAGAGACTTGGTGTTCATTTCGGACAGACACATTAGCATTCGAAATGGGATAAGAAAGCACTATTCGGCTGCGGATCATGGATTGTGTAGGTATCACATCACTTGTAATTTGAGGAAGCGTTATCCAAAGATGTGCAAAAAGGGGTTGGATACACTTTTTGAGAAACCTGCAAATGCATACACCAAACGGTCATTCAAGAGGTTGTATGGCGACTTGAAAGCAAGGTATCCAGCTGCTGGCAATTACATTGACAATATCCCAAAGAAAAGATGGGCCAGGGCGTATTTTGAAATAAACCTGTACCAAATAATGACGACAAATGGCGCCGAATCAATCAATAGCGTATTGAGGGAGGACAGGGAACTTCCTATTGTTGCACTTTTAAAAGCAGTCCAGAACATGACATCAAGATGGCGTGGAAAAAGGCAACAAGAGTTAAGGTCTCTCGATGCGTCAAATCCCCCTGTTACCCCGGCTGCTGAAGCTGAAATGCGCAAGAGATTCAACACTGCCTTGCGCTGGGAATGTCATCAGTTGAATCAATACGAGTTTGAAGTCAAGGGAGTGCACTCTGACCATGTTGTTAACCTTTCAAATAAAACTTGCACCTGCCAAGTGTTTGACAAGGATAAGATACCTTGCGTGCATGCACTCGCTTGTTCAGAACGCACAGGCATAGATTGTTATAGCTTGTGTAGTAAATTATACACAAAGGAATACATGTATATCGCATACGCGGAAACAATCTACCCCGTGCCACATGAAGATGACTGGGATGCCGATGGAATGGAGCTCTTAGAAGTCAAACCCCCTATATTGAACAAGCAAAGAGGAAGGCCAACAACGAAGAGATTTCCATCGGACGGCGAGGCACGAAAAAAATATAAATTGACATGTTCTAGTTGCCAAGGAAAAGGGCATACAGTACGGAAATGCGCAAAGAGACCTCGTAAAGACACATCTACGACAAATGACTTGAATAATACTGATTGCATGTAATTAACACTCTAATTAACAATTATTACATGAATGAAGATATGTGTGAACGGTTGGCATTCAATTCTGTATATAAAGATATGCGTGGACGGTTGGGGAAATACGTTGCATTTAGGACGTTTTATATACTCCGTATATATTAATAATAATAATAGTAATAGTAATAGTAATAATAATAATAATAATAATAATAATAATAATAATTCGATCATTTCGACTACATTTGGAACGTATTCGACTGCATGTTATGCACATAGGAGGGTTTGATTAACAATAACAATAATAACAATATGGTTTGAAATCTTTGAATGCATTTAGGACAGTACATGAGTAGTTGGGGAAATTCAAATATGGTTTGAAAGCATTTAAGAGGTATATGGTTTGAATGCATTTAGGACGGTACATGAGTAGTTGGGGAAATTCAAATATGGTTTGAAAGCATTTAAGAGGTTTTGAATGCATTTAGGACGTTTAATGAGTAGTTGGGGAAATACGTTGCATTTAGGACGTTTTATATACTCCGTATATATTAGTGCTATATATACTAGTGCAATTGCTTATCTTTATTCACAAAAACCCCTCTGAAAATGCCAAAAACTTTCGTCATATATCTGGAGGAAGAGGATAATGACAGCCATGACCCGATTCGGCTGCGAGGTATTTGTGCGACCTGGACGAATTGCTAGTATACTCTGGCCCGCAAAAAAAGAAGTTAATTGTTCAACTAGAACGCCGGCAGGAGGGAACGTTTATGGTGAAAAGTGGTTGGCATGAATTAGCAGATTTTTATCAATTATTGCCCGAGTTGATCCTGCATTTCAAATATTATTGGGAAAACGTATTTTTTCTTACTGCGTATTGGGATGCTGTGGAGTGTTTTGGTTTGTAGTCTTTGGAGTACCGGATAGGTACTCATTGAATGAGTTTGCCCTTATCAGTGACTTGATGTGCTCGGGAGTTGAATACGTAGTTCGAAGCATAATATGACGTGAATGCTCGGAAAAAAATTCATGAATATCACTTCCCCTTGGTACTCTGTTGACTAAAAGTCTATTGGAGTACCAAAGGGAAGTGATCTTCAAGAAATTTTTTCCGAGCATTCGCATCCTACAATGCAAATGCTCGAAACAAATTTCTGGAGGATCACTTCCCTTTGGTACTCCAATAGACTTTAAGTCAACAGAATACCAAGGGGAAGTGATCTTCAAGAAATTTCTTTCCGAGCATTCGCGTCATATTATGCTTCGAACTACGTATTCAACTCCAGAGCAGCTCAGGTCACTGATAAGGGTAAAGTCCATCAATGAGTCAAATTCTATTTGGTAGTAGTATAATAAAATGTAACATATGAATTTATTGTTTTGAAACACTATTTAATGATTTGTAATAAAAAATGCATGAAAAGGTCTATTTGTTTAATTTCGGATGTTCTTATGCTTTTTCTGCAAAACTCGTTAAGTGCCAATAAGATAAAACTAAAAAACTCATAGTAAGTGCCAATAACATATCAAAAAAAGTCTAAGTAATGATTTGTAAAAAATTACCTTAAATATTCAAATTATATCCAAAAATTTATTTTTTTTAAAGACCATTTAATGATTTGTAATAAAAAAAAAGTAAATGAAAAGGTCTATTTGGGAAGGGTCGAAATTGCGTGAAACACCAACTCAATCTAAAAATTGCGAGTGGTCGAATATGGTCACAAAGGTCAAATTGGTCGAATTATCCAATAAGAAAAAGTAATAAGCCTAAGAACTTAACCGAAAAAAGAGTTGTACAAACACATTAAATCCCCAGGCACGCATACCTGGAAAAGATCAGATAATGATAATGTTCATTAAATAACAATCAATTAATTTTTTGTTT